GATAAATATCACAATGCCTGCCATTTGAAATAATAATAATAATAACTTAGTTATTTTACTAATTTTATTCCTGACATCTTAATATCAGCTAGTACAACTATACAAACATGGAGCAGTAATGCAAATATAGGTACACGAGTTCAGAAAAAATTCAAATACATACATCTATAAATATAGACAAATACTAGTAAGTATCGATCACCTTCCATCATCTACAGTTTTAGGTCGAAAACCACACATTCCTTTTACTATTCAACAATTTTCTTGACGAGTTTATCAGCACGGAATTTCTCAGATGTTTAAGATGACGCAATTGTCGAGTAAAACCACTCAACGATGCTGAATGTAAAAGTATAACACCCAAATCGTAGAACTGAGCCATGGTGGAGAACAGCTGAACCTTCCCAACCAAATTCGTTTGCAGATCGATCGTCATCAGTACAATGATGAACAGCTTCCTAAAATGAGGCGAAAGACTCACTGAAATCGACATCAAATAAAAATATGCAATAATAATTAAAAACGCCAGACACACGATTCGACTGGGTCCATCAAACTTTGGCCGTTTTGGAGTTGGAGATTTTAAGTTTTCCATATCCTCAGCAATACGACGCGCATGACACAATGCTCGAGAAGCCTAACAAAAAAATAAGTTTAACAATAAGGAAAAGATTTATGTGATATTGTTTTCTCAACAAACCTCAGTTTGTTCTCTATGCTTCACTGAGTAGTCATTATTGAAAGGAATGCAATCTACAGTGGATCCGAATTCACTGTAGTTAAGGAGCTCGAATTGCCGGCTGTATTCATCGTAGAATAAGGAGGCATGATTAGACGAAACTTTGGGACAAGGTGGTAGAGAGTTAACACGATAGTTGCTTAAATCCAAATGACAGCCCGGTCCTACAATCAGGCAAAACGCAAAACTACTTATACATTTTCAGTAAACGAGAATAATAAGGTAGTCTCATTATGACGAACCAGTGCCGATAGTGAGTTGTCGATTGGTCATTGCAACAATTGGGCCGTGGGTTCCAGCACAGGGAATTAGAGCAGCGCGACAAGCCCGTATGGGCCCATCAGAGAACTGAACACGACGTCTCATAAATGCAAGAAGTTTTTCATCCTGTTCAACCAAATCCTTTGGAGCTGTAGAAGGAAATGATGCCCATATGGATGAGGTTCATCGGGACGCATTTGCAGCAATTCAAAATAACATGAAGAATAACTTGCCTCTACTTCCATCAGAAGTAATACGGTTGTCAATTTCTTGGAGAGCATCCACAATTTTTCTTTTTAATCCGGTTGGTATGCTATCGAAGTTTGATTCATCAGGGGAAGGGGTTATTGACGATTTACTCGTAGTTTCCTCATCATCAGTATGATTCGGAGTCGTCTCAGATGCACTACTAGCATCTGAGGGCTTCAGATCTTCACGAATGTAAAATTCCAATAGGCCTCGTATAAACTAGTAAAAGTAGGATATTTTGCATGTATAGGGCCAAATTAAAAAAAATGTTTGATAGAAGGACGATATCTTGAAGTCGCTCTTTTGAGAAAATGTCAAACTGCCATCCATCTTAACAAACAAAATTAACGCAGTTGACTAAGACACCATTGGATAGGCACCTTCCTCCCACATCCCGTTACATCTGTCAAAGGCAAATTGGCCCGAATCCACTATTGATGTTCTTATTTGGAGACTTTGAATCTGATTAAGTTTTAAGAAGTATATTCATTTTGTACGGGAATAACTCTAAGCATAACTCAGCGAGGCTTTAAAACTTCTTTTACTGTCAGGATTAGTAATACTTTAAGTTACAATAACTGCAGGTCAGTGCTTAAGTAAAAATCACATTTAAAATGAAAACATGAATTATGCGTATGCTCTTTTAACGCAAGAGTGCCTTCTAAAAATGATCCTTAAAATATCAGTAACTTATCATATCCCGGGGTCATTAAGTAAAAAATCTCATGATTAATTCCTCTGTGAATATAAAAAGAACTACTCTACCCTTAGAAAACTTACCGCATTCTGTTCCTCCTTGGTAGCGGGAAGAGGTTGATCAGTGGAAACGACAGTAGGAGTTAAATTCTTCTTTGGTTGAGATTTCAACAAGCTTCGTCTTCCTCTAAAAATCTCATTGGGTCTAGGCAGTCGATGTACAGGATTCTTGTACAACTCCTTAACGGCATTGGGGACCTATAAAAGAAATAAGTAGGTTTAAAAGACAAACACGCAATACACAAACAAATAGGATATTCTAATAATTTGAACTGTGTGTATCTTTCATTTCTATCCAAGTCTTTGCAACTGTAATGGACAATAAGCACTTGATACGTTCCCATGATTTTGCATAAGCACCCCTTTAATAGCTGAACTGTTAATGAGTCATACTTCTCCTTTTCACATAGCACATGCTAAAAAAATCAATTATGCCTCATTTCCACCTTTTAAAACCACGTTGTGTAATAAGGGTCACAGAGAAAAAGACACTCGAGGATAAGGAAGCTACTATCAGTTACATTGATCTTATGAGCTCCAAGATGGCTACAGCGATGAATGTCCGATGAAAGCACAATAAGTAACTTAACAGAAGGACGTACTACAATACGTTTACAGGTGAATGCGGAAGTGGCTTGGAGGGCAGGTGAAATCGGCTGAGGCTTCAGGGCTTCACCAAGAACTTCCTTTGCAGCATTCGCTTCGAGCTTTCGTTGAGTGACTCGTTTGAGAAATCCTGAGATAATAGCCTTCTCATCCTCCGTGGTGAATTGAATCTCATGAGAGGCACCACCTAATGGGTTGTTTGGAACAAAATCTATGGGAGCATCAGGATCAGTAACAGCAAGTTGATTCCAAGCTCGAATACGATCAGACAGACGAATCGAGGGAACGAGACATTTATCCACAACATGCTCTGAATGCAAAGGACACATCCAATAATCAGAGCGAGGAGGGAATGCAGCCATTGGAGGATCAAGACACTCTAGATGGAAGCACGCAGTGCAGTAATCGCAGGGTAATAACGGCCTTTTCATGCATGTCCTAAAATGGGACGAAAAGTTAAAATAAGCAAACCAAATAAAAAGTGGTGTACAGAAGGGGTTATTCAAACATACTCGGCGCAATTGTAACAGCGTCGAATTGGGGTGGGAATATAGCCATTTTCCATTTCAATTATGGGATTGGCCTTACGTTCAGCACGGGATTTGTAAGAGCCTAAAATAAACCGCAGGCGTCACAGAGCACGACGAATGCAAAACTGGATAATTTTATTGAGTTCCAAAATCTTGTTGGTTTCTAACCTGGGAGTTTGATGGCAGGTAAAAGCTCCTTAGGAAGAGAAAATTCCTTGGGATTTTGCATCCGCCAATACTTGTTAACTCTTAAGAGGAAGTTAAGGGGCGAAAGCACGTCCTCACTGGCATTTTGACCATTATTTTTTAAATAGTTTTTGCCTTCACTATTTCCGGATGCATTACTTTCGTGTTCTTGGGCCTCTTCCTCCTAAAATAGTAACAACAATAAAAAGCAGAGTTAATTGCAACCACGAGCCCACGTTATTATGAGGGACAAAGTAAGGGGTAATGTCCATCAGTGAGCTTTTTAAGAGGATTGGTGCAATGTCAACTATCACCACTTCTTTTCCTATCAATATAAAAGCATTGCTAATAGGATCCCATCAAAAAAGTAGATAAACAAACAATCATGAAGCCATTCTTATTGTTCGATTGGCATCAATACTACTCTACCTCAAAAACTTGTTATGTTGAAGATCTTCATTTCAGAGGGTGAGATTAACGGCCTAAATTGACAGCCGCTTTTGCTTAACAAGACAATAAACCAAGCAGATCATCACTCAAGATACAAATAGTTTAATTATTTTTAAATTTTTCAACCAGAATAATACCATGTACTAAACTATGAAAGTACATATCAGTAAAAAAATAGACTCAACCCCTTGTCATATTAAAACTCATCTGATAGCGTTTTCATTTTCATATTTAGAAAATTAAGAGTGTCTTAAAAAAAGAGAAATCATAGATTGACGCTAACGTGTTAAGAGAAGGCAGCCGCAGATAAATTACCATTATTCTAAATCTCACTTAGTCATATCTCATCTGGCTAAAACATTCATTCAAGACTGATTCATATCAGCTAATCGCTCCAAGCATAACGCGATAAAGCCATCCGCTTACACTTATAAACCTGTACATTTCCTAATATCCTATTGGCCAAATTTCATACAAAGCATAGGGCTAGTGACCACCAAACACAATTATATTGTCTCCAATGGAAAAAGACTTTTCTCGTTTTGGATATTTTCAAGTATACGTTGCTTAATAAACATACATTAAGCATGCATGAAATTGCTTTCCAATTTTTTAAAGAAAATAGGCCATAGTGCCATCATAAACATTACCTTAGAAAGCATAGTGCATCGATGACAGTACCAAATCCCTGTAGGAGCACTTTGAGGATCCATAGGAGGATCTAAGCACTCAAGATGGAAGCTGGCTGGGCATCGATCACAAACTAAACGATCGCCTTCAGTGCAATTACAACTATCACAATAATCGTGAGTGTTCGGTCGAGGTTTGCGCCAACCTGGATCGTCCTGATAAGCATTAACAACTTTCGAAATAGATGATATCCCAGCATCTTGATTGAAATCTGATTGTTTCTTGGTACGAGGAGCGGGGGGCTGAAGAATTTAGATAAAAGCTACTTGAGGGAACTTACAATTCCAGCCAGAGCCTTTTTACCAAGAGACTCTGCTGTAGGTGGAGCGAAGATTTTCTGTAATTTCTCTAACATAGCTTCATGGTCGGACATTCTAATGGGTCTAAAATAAAAAAAAACTGAGTATTTTTACCTTTTCGAGGGCCAACAAGGAAATAAGCCTGAACAAACCGATTCAAAAAACAAATGTTGAAAGGGAGGTAAGAAATTACTTTAGCAATTCAACTGCATGCAAAACTCAAGACTAGATTTAAGTTAACGTTTAACGTCAATTATTTTATGGCTAAACAATCAGAAAGGAACATACTAATTAAGAATATTTGAAGGACCCTACTAGACACAAACTGCCCTACGGACAACCTTGGAAAGGATGTATTCTCCAAGATCTATCGATGTAGTCAGTCTAAACAAAACAAATATCTAAAAAGTTCATTGCGCATAATATTTAGATAATATTCTCAATCGCATCTCCATATTTTCAACCAAAAGATTTTTAAAATGGATTTAGGAAGGTTGCAATCTACAATTTTAATAGGGGTAATATTTGTATTTAATTAGGCAGCATAATACACCATGAAAAATAAGTTTATTTGCTTCTAAAAGAAGTTAATTACATCTTCAAAAGTGTCAATTTTCTCTTAGAGCATTATTTGATTATGCATGTATTATATATATATATATATATATATATATATATATATATATATATATATATATATATATATATAAGAGAACGATATTATTTAAAAACGCTCTTAAATAAATCAGTAATCATAATGATTACCACCAATTTTTAAGTAGCTGTCAATTCTCATTGTATTTTTTACCCTAAGTGTACATTCTTAGCTTCTATCACAAATAACTAATAGAAGATGAGGAAGTATTTTATAAGTTAAATTATGAATGAATTGGCCAAACTACTTTTATTTCAATCAAAGAAGTCAAAACGAAATCTTAGCTTTTGCATGCATCATAATTAAACCATTATTAACAAAAGTGGAAAACGGGGCCTCCATTTTTCTATTCTGGAATGAAGTGATTTGATCACCTATTCAGGTTTCAATCGGTTCATAATATTAACCATGATATTAAAATCCATTTAAGCTAACAAATGGCTTACTTTGGCTAAAAGATTACTAAAACCCAACTCAATGGGTATTTTTCATATATATATATATATATATATATATATATCATAGAACGACTCTAGTTGGTGAAATAATTTCCTTCTGACCTGGATGCAAAGTTTAGATGAATTAAAAATGACAAATAGATGACAGAATATATTTTATGGTAAAAAATAAGTATAAAAATAGGACAAGTCTTGAAATTTTTTAAATTCACAAATACTGTGTATGTTGATAATCTTATTCGTCGCATTCTGACGACTCTTCCCACTCCATCATATTTGTATTGTCTTTTGTTGCATTTTATTACCCTTCGGTTAGGTAAACTCAGAGGCCTTCCCAAACTATGCGATTTTAGTAACTGCAACTATTTTTATGGGTATATTGTTGGCTTATATTCTTAATTTTATAGTATCCGATCGAAATGCGTTGCGAAGAGTGTGAAAGCGAGAACCTTCAACTTGATGAAGTAACATGCCATTACGTTTGCCAAGACTGCTTTCTAGTTACAAATTATACGGAGGGCTTAGTTTATGTAAGTTTTATTTTCTTTTTTGCATTGTAGTATATACTATTTTCTAATTTTTTTAAATCTTTTTTTAAATAGCCCTGAAATCTCTGACTATGTTCTCTTTGCTGTATTTCCTATGCTATTGTGCTCTGTAAAATTAGCATTTATGGCAGCAGAGTTAATAATAAGTTTGATTGTTATTTAGGATGAAGCTCCAGTTGGTTCTAGACCCATCGGTCTTCGTCGATTTGGTACTCAACAATCGACAGTAGATTTGCAAAGTCAAAAAATTACGACTGCGGCCAAAAACGCTGCAAGCCAGCCCATGGAAGTTGATGCCTCACAGTGCGACGCACCCCAGACTTTCACTGGCATTGTCCATCGCAAATGGCGCATGAGTGAAGCCATTAATGTAAGGATTCTTGTACAAAAATCCAAACTCATTATTTCTTTTAAGCTTATCTTCAAAACAACTGCACAGAGATTTAATAATGAATTTCTCATGCCTGCTCCAAATTGCTACCAGCAAGCTTCGCAAGAGTTCATGGTTTCAGTCGATAAGCATTGGAAGACTTACTTGCAAATAATCGGTGAGATAGGCAAAGTGAACTGGGCAGTGGGCTTTCGAAAAGCTGTGCAAGCAATTGAAAAGAGCCTGGATTCACGTAAGGCCTACATTGAAGCATGTGCAAGAGGCGGACGTAGTGTCCCTAGTAGAGTTCTACCTCTTGTAAAATCTGAAAAAGACGTGGAGTTGACCGAAACGACAGAGAAAAGGTCGGAAGACGAGGTCATTACAAAGCATCGTGATGTTCTTCGTGTCTTTAGACACCTTGTGAATCCTGGAGTTGTCTGGACTGGAATGAGTGGGCTCCTTGACCCGAATAGACAAGGGCTTAATCCGTTATTTGAACCCTTTTCACCTGTAATGTAAGTTATTTCCGGTTATTACTTTTATTTGATCATAATCAATGGTGCATTGATGTAAGATCAAATTATGGGCTGGAACTAAGTGGATGAGTTATTCCTTAAATTTATTTTATTGGGGAGGAAATTTCAAGAGTGGGGACCCTGCCCTTTAAAATTCAGTTTGCCATGGTTTACCCTTTCCGATTTTGATATTTGATAGCGTTTTGGTCGGTACAAGCTTGGTTCTCACCTTAAATTCGGTCGAAGTTCTGCTATCCAATTCGCTTACATCTGAAATTTCAGGCACATACCAACCTTTTTGAGTACTACCTGCAGTCAAAATTGACACTTGACTCAGCACGCTAACTACCGCTGGCTGAGATATCGACATCATTGGACTGGTATTTGTATAGCCTTAATCTGCTAACGGCTTAACCAAAAGCCACTTCTCTATCAGCTTGCTGTATTTAAAGTTGGAAGTCGAGAGGGTTTGAAAGTGTCTTATTATTTGTAGAAGTGTGGCTTTGATGTAGCTCGTTTATCACGAAATACTAGCAAGTCTTCCATTCTGTGGTTACAATAAATAGACGTGCCAATTTTTAGACAGTGAAGATAGTACATTGACTAGAATTGTTACTGTAGATTCCTTAAATGGGCTCATCAATTTGCCCTTGATGGTTGAATAGTGATTAAGCTAGGATAATAAAAGACTAATAGGTTCGAGTTATTCACTGGATGGGCTCCATGACGCTTCTCTACGCTTTGGAATAATAAAGTATAAACTCAAGCCTGGGGTGTGCGATAGACTTACCTCCACGTGGTGCACCCTGGGCAACGTATACTCATACGGCAAAAAAGCCTATTAACCGGCAGTTGACTTCTGACTTCAAACTACCACGACCCCCCTGGTTGTCATATTCGACCCCTTCCACTGTACTCACCTTACCTTTTTCTCTACCTTTGTGCCTGTCTGCCTCTTTTACATCTGTGAATCGCTCTTCTCTTCCCCACCCCTCGACTTTCTGCTACTTTGATGAACCTCCCCCCTGTGAAGCCCGAAGCCAGCTAAATGGCTAATGATATCTATCAAAATGCCTGCCATTTGAAATAAAATAAAAATAAAAATTCAAGCCTTTCTATTTTTAGGCAAAAGCCAGTTATTGAGAAGTCGAATCAAGATAAAGATCAAGGCACTGAGGTAAATGAGACGTCAACAACATCGGAGGAGTCAAGACCACCAAGAAAACGTGCGCGCAAAATTCGCCCTTCTTCTCCTAAGATTTCTAAAACAGCCGAGAATATCTTCGATATTGAGTATAATGAGAAAGAAGGAGACAAGGAGAGGAAGATCGAAGATAAACTGGCAAAATTGGAGCCCTTTACTCAAATCACCGATATCACTAAGCTTTCCGAGGTCTATGATGAGTTGGTTAAATGGATGCGACTGATTCCTCTGACCAAGATGGATTTCTCCTTTAAGCAATGGTTTTTCCGCGGCACAGTGGGACAATTACCAGAGAACAGGCTTATGGAGTATAATTTGGGCCTTATATACCTCAGCGTGATGGATATGCTCACGAAGACACGAGTTATACACTTTTCTGAGCAAGATACTAAATGCTTCCCTATTTATATACATGAGTACTTTTCAATGCAAGATTTAGCTACAATGTGCAAAATCAAGGATATTCCTTATCTTAAGGTAAGTCGTTGCGTTCCCTCACTCTTATCCTTTTCCCATTCTAGGCTGATGAGTTAGTTATTCAACACTTAAGTTGGAATAATTTTGCCATCCAATCTGTCTTTGATCGACGACGTGTACCCGACCCAAATGTTCTCTCCAAAGTTACAAATCAATTGATTCATATGATTGGATATTCTATGCGTCCAAGGTGAGTGGAGAAAATTAAATTTCCTAATCACATTCAAAGTCACGTTCATGACATTTGTTTAGGGTTCGTTCGCCCTTAAGAGGAATGCAATTTCTATCTTTAATGAACTAATTCGATTTATTACGCACATCACTGAAAAATCACCAATGGACAGTGATCTCGTGAAATTTTATTTGTCAAGCGTACATATTGACCACTGCACGATCAGTACGTAAAGGTTTGAGTGCTTGGGCGTTCACTCGAGTATCTTACATTGCTATTTGGTGTCATGGCCAACCACGCCATTTAATGCTAGCCAATAATGGGAGAGGCTGGATGTGAATCGAGTGATCGATCTGAATATCTACAGGTGTCTTTCGGGAGTTATTTCTCTTGCTACTGGATACCCCTGTCGAGGTTTTGATTTAACCCATCAGGGAGAGGAAATACAGTGACTATTAACTGTTGTTTAAGTGAAGTAATTTGTAGTTTGAAGTAGATGAGGGAGAGAGAGGCGGTTAGTGTTGTTTGTCTGGTGCTGAAGTGTTCAACGTACATTTAAGAAGTAATGAAGACGATTCCAACCTTGGATTAATTTTATTTAACAGAAGGGGTAGCAGTGTGTTTGTCGTAAGTGGCATATTTTCTCTGTCAGGAGTTGTCAATACTTCAATGTGCTTGACAATCATGCACCATTGTTTGTGTTACTACAAAATGGCTTCATTATCCTAACGCCTACGTTCTGAAACGTCTATCCTTTGACATTTATAAGTGTCCTTTAATTGTATAGGTAGAAATGTTGTTGAAATTACACGATTTAGTCCATTTAATGGGAAAATTCATTAGAAATATTAGAATCAGTTGTTTTTAGTATTTGATCGTACATTTATTGAAATATGAGTGGATGGTTAAATTACGAAATCCGAACCCGGAACTAATTGTTAGTTTTTGTCGAGTTTAAAATAGTATAAATGTGGATTAGCGTGCAGTCGATCCTATCCTACCTTCATAGCTGTCACAAAGATGTTCAGTAGTTCTATACGAGTAAAAGTAACTGTATTGAAGTATACACAGTTCTTTTATAGGTTGCCCCTTTGCCAAATGGTGCATCGGTATCTTCGATGGATGGGTCTCCCATATGATATTCATTTGCTGGCCGATAACTGGATTCGTAGGTTATCGTTTCGAGTACGTGAGGAAGTCGAGGACAGGGAGGCTGGAATGCACTTCTACCTTCCCCTCCAACGCTACTTGCGAGCTGAAGTCTTTGCGATGGCTATTGTTGTCCTTTCTGTACGCTCTATGTTCAAATTGGATGGTGTATATGAGGTGAGTTGAAAGGAGTTCAGTATAAATGAAGGAACCTATTTTGATGAAACCGAAGACTATGGAATATTTGTCTGTAATAAGAGTCGTGATCCAAATAAATATTTACAAAGAAAGTCATAATAAAGTCAAGTTAGTACGAGATGGTGTAGAGGTAAAACAGTGCAAGTAGGGTGAAGCTTATGAGTTTCCTTCAATTGCACAGAAAATATTTGATCAATTTTTCCATTAATTGTTCTAATTTTTTTCAGTCCTGTTTCTCCAAAGTGTCGGCCTTCTTGTCCGAGAGTCCAAAAATAAGCAAAAATCTAGAGAATCTTCTCAAAGAGAAACGTGGGGGCATACAGTCTACGTTAGGAACAAACATCGCTAGCAAGCCTTTCTTCTACTTGGAGTGGGCAAGTAATTTTACCAGTTGCACGAAAATTGGGATGAAGCAACACACACGCGTTAAAAATGAGGCTGATGCTCCAATTCATTCGGCGCTTCTTTTCCGCGACCTATATCGCCAAGCTACGACCACAGAGGAATTCTTGGGACCGGATGCCGACTTTAATCCCATTACGGACTTGGGCTGGGGCGAGAAAACTATGGGGAAGATCCGCAGGGCTGCATCAGTGAGTTGTGCCTTTTACTTTTCCCATTTAGAGTATTGGATCATTAATTTTGAATGATAAATCAGAGTTGGGTTTCTTTCATTTTTGTTTCTTTGCATTTATAAGTGAATGAATAAAATTTTCCCTATAGTCATTTATGTGAAGCTGGCATTGTCAAGAAAAAGAACCACAATTCTCTTCGTTGTCTTTTTTTATTTACAAATTACTCTTACTAAAAATAACTTTAATACGATGTATTGATTGGCCCTCTAATTGATTCCTACTTCTAAAAGTGCGAATACTCATTTCAAGGAGATTCATTAAAAGGAGCGAAGTTAATTTAATTCTTATAAAGCAATAATGGTTGAGACGCCATTCTCAACATTGATATCAGAATCGGGCGCTAGTGAAAAATTGACGAGTATTCGAAAAATTGTCCCACATCCTGTTGTGTAGCTAAATCAAGTGTTGTGAGAGCTTAAGGTGTTTTAGGTGTTGGGGGGGGGGGGGGGGGGGGGGTTGGGTAAGCTAATCATTCCTAATGTGAACATAATTTAAGAGCTATTTCCCCAATTGCCTTACAGTATTTAGTATGCATGTAATCCCATTTTCTTTGCTCTCCTTTTCACGTATAGAAAGAAACAAAACTTAAGTTGAGCGAACCCTTGCAACAGCTGTGTGCAAAGTTTACCGATTTCTCGGTGGACGAAGATGAAATAAATAACATCACGTCGGTCGAGGAAGTTCTACCATCTCCCTGTAAATCTTGCCAAGTGGCCCTGGAGCACAGAATTTTCCAGGGCCTGGACAATATTCACCACGTCGCTCTCAATGCAAATCATCAAACATGGAGTGAATTCAATTGTGATGTGGTCTGTGCGTCATGGGAATTCATGCATGAAAATCAACTGACCGTCGAGACATTCCTTGAAATGGTGGTCAAGCAAGAGGAGAAGACTCCTGAGTTGGAGGAGATCATCAAGGCAAGTTAATGTGCTCGTGCACTTTTTCTGTCAACTCGATCGGGGCCAATTTGCTCTCTACTTTAAAGCGAAAAAAACTAACTTATATAGATGTAGGGTTGGATCGTGATCTAATCGCTACGAAGATTTCTTCCTACTGTTGCTGTGCATTAATTTTTATTTGTCAAACACCCTTTTTTACCCCCAGGGCTAGAGAGAAGAGTATCTGAGCACGTCTATTCCTTTAAAGGCAACAGAATATTATATTTTCTGACGTTTCCCTCGTAAATAAGGGAGGTGGAAGTGTCTTGGACATACTTGTTGTCTCAAATTTAATTCGGCGTACCGATTTCATAGCACTTGGAGAGTATAATGATTGACATTTCAATCTACTTGTTATTCTTTTAAGTACCAACCCCAATATTATGAGATTTGTAGTAAATGGCAAGCTCGTAACCTCGAAACAGGCCTTGTGTTGAGATTGTGAAAATGGATAAGTTCTCTACAAGGTTTATCCATTGAGAAATATCCTAATTAGGCCAACGTGTTGTGACACGAGGAAAGGGGTCAACAGAAAGCGGATAATTAAGTTAGACATCGCAGTCTTACCTAATCTGAGATCGGCAATAGTGATGGGTCCTTATTTTTTTAATGTGAAACCTCACTTTGCGACGTCGTGATATTCAATTTTCATTAGTTGACTTCCAGTTTCATGGATGCAATTATGTCCACTGTAGTTAGAAGTCATTGACCGTTTGATTTATTTCCATGGTTGATCAAGCCATCTCTTTTAGTTCGTCTCTGTACAGTCTAGAACAAGTAGGTAAGACTTCTAGTGCTTCGGTTAATATAGTACAACGTTGTAGTCATTTATGCACACAAAAGCTTAGCTGCTGAATTTTTAAATGTTTTCCCTTTCTTTTAGGACTGGTCATATTTACTCTCACATTATAAGCGCTACGACCCAATACACACTTGCCGATTCTCCGTAGAAAATGACCGACGTAAACTAAATACTTTTGCTCTTCCAGATCCAGTGCTAGATTTTCTGATTTATCATAATAATCGAATGCGAAAGTTGATGGCAGGTGAACCTGTGGATCCGAGTGCCTTGGTCAATGTTTACACAGACCGCAAATCTGGTGAAGATGAGAAGACCCGGGGGAAACTAAGCGATGCTTCCGCTTCTTTGAATTGGCTGATTGAGCTGGCTAGTGTAATATGTGGAGCAACTTTTCAGCAATTGCTGGAAGAGATAAAATGTATAGAGAAGTTACTCAAATATGGCCCCCCAATTACCACGAGGGGCACAAAGAAACTGGAAGATCTTGCTATGGCTTATCATTTCAACTATGACATTGCTCCAGCCTTTAATTTGAAGAAATAATTTTGTAGATCTCTATGTGTATATTTCATTTCTGTACATGTTCTATTTAAAATGTGAAATAGAATTGTATGTAAAGGTGGTGGGATTTGGTAACTGTGTTCTTGCTTAAAGAATTGATTTGACTAGTTCTAGTGGCTAGGGCTCAAATATTTATTTATTTCAAATGGTGAGCTTTATGACACTTATCATTAGCCCTTTAGCTGACTTCAGGCTTCACAGAGGGAAGGTTCATCAAAGTAGCAGAAAGTCGAGGGGTGGGGAAGAGAAGAGCGATTCACAGATGTAAAAGAGGCAGACAGACACAAAGGTAGAGAAAAAGGTAAGGTGAGTACAGTGGAAGGGGTCGAATATGACAACCAGGGGGGTCGTGGTAGTTTGAAGTCAGAAGTCAACTGCCAGTTAATAGGCTTTTTTGCCGTATGAGTATACGTTGCCCAGGGTGCACCACGTGGAGGTAAGTCTATCGCACACCCCTGGAGCTCAAATAAGTTGTCTATGTTTTAAATTTTGAGCCTGTAGCTTGTCAAAATTGTAAGTAGAGTCACTAGTTTTGAGGCTAACTGTGGACTACGGGCTAGAGTCATTCTTAGTCAAAACGGAGCTGGTCAGTAAACCCAATCTAATTTATTGATAAAAACATTATGGCTTAAATGAAGAGATTCATCTGTGAGACTTCAGCCTTGTATGTTCATCACTATCGATGCAAGTAGCCGTGTGCAGACACATTTGGTTTCTCTGTAGGTACTGCTGGCGAGATATTGGGTTTGCGACCGTCTGGTGTTAATAGGAATTTCCCATGCAATTATAAGACATCTGCCTTAGTTGAAATAGACATTTCATTCAAGAGCGTCTGAAGGGCTTTATAGGTTAGAACTAGATATTCTTATCTGCCAATAAGTAAACTTTGGTAAATGGTTAAAACTAGGATTTTAATGTGAATTTACCAACTTGACTAACTTGTTTGGGCATGTGGAAAGGAAATCGAAGACATGCTAAACAGCAACCCTCTAGAACTTGTTTATAGTAATGAGGATCCTGCTACATATTTGCACTACAATGGAACCAGAAAAACTCCTGACTTGCTCCTGGCTTCAACCGACATCAGCGAGCATACACGCCGCTAAACAATTGACGATCGTGGTTCTGGTCACAAACCAGTCATTGCTAGTATTACCATCGGTTGCAAAAGCATGAGATGGAGAGTGCCAACTAAGCTATCATGGAACTTCAAGAAGGCTGACTGGCCTAGATTCACAAACCTTTTGGAGAATAAACTTCACACAAGTCCCCTCAACTTCAACCAACATCCTGATAAACTTTGCACTGCTATCACGAATATTATGATCAGATGTGCAAAGAAAACTATTCCCCGAGGCAAGAGTAAACACTATCGAGTGTTTTGGTCAAAACAACTTGTGGAACTGAAAAGAAAGCGGGACGCCCTTCGCAACACTGGTGATCAGACTGGAAGAACGGAAGACGTACAAGCCTGGAGACGACAATCAACTGTCCTAAGGCAGGTCATCTTGCAAGCTAAACGGACTTCCTTCGACAATTTCATCTCAAATATCAACTATCAAAGTGATAGCCAATGCACTTTCAAATTCCTGGGTAACCTCCAAAACAACAGAGAAAGTCCCAAGAATGAACCAATACGCTTAAAAAACAAACTGCTTACCACCGACTACGAAATAGCTAACTGCTTTGCGAGGTTCTATTCCCACAAGCAAAAGAAAAACCCTTTTGTCAGAAAATCTTCAAGAGATTTAAAGATACAAGTAAGACAGTTTGGTGAAATTAAGGAAGACATAGCAACACCAAATAATGTACTTACTGAACCATTCAGACCTTGCGAACTTAATGCTGCGATAAAACAGCTAAAGTGCGAGAAGTCTCCTGGCGAAGACGGTATTCATCCGGAATTTTTAATTAGAATGGGACCAAAAGCCAAGGAAACCATGCTGACGCTTTACAACAAAATCTGGGAGACTAGTCTCGTACCTAACCAATGGAAAGTTGCCATAGTAATAACANTTGATCTTGTATGAGAAGCTACTGCGCATTCCCAGGGATAAGTTCTTCAGCACCTATGAGAATAGACCAAGACATCTGAAAACGCAATCTGGTCTAATACAGAAAGCCATAGAACTGAAGAAAGAATTACAAATTGATGACAAACCAAAAAGCCTCTCTCTACCCATGAACCCATTAGCAGACACTGATGTAGTGTGTTGCATCCAACTGCTTGACCTCTTCAAGAAATCAAACACCCCTCCGGAGCAAATGCGCTCACTGGCCCTTGAGACAATCAACGTCAACTATCCCGGATATCAATGGCTCCAAGTCTTCACTGATGGGTCCTACATAGAAAACCAAGCAAACGTTGGTGCAGGTGTCTATTCTGAACTCTTGTCTTTCTACGCAGCAGCGGGACACAATAGATCCTCTATTGAAGGAGAAATAGAGGCCATTAGGATAGCACTATGCCAATTGTGTTGCCTGGATACGAAATTATTATTATTATATCAAATGGCAGGCGTCTTGATGGTTATCATTAGCCCTTTAGTTGACTTCAGGCCTCACAGAGAGGAAGGTACATCAAATTGAAAAAAGTCGAGAGGGGAGGGGGAACATTAGAGTGTTTCAAAGATGTAAAAGAGACAGACACGTAGGTAGAAAAAAGTTGAGGTGAGTACTATGGAAGTAGTCGAATATCACATATAGTGAGGTGATGGTAGTTTGAAGTGAGAAGTCAACTGCCAGTTAATAGACTTTTCTGCCGTATGAGTATACGTTGCTCAGGGTGCACCATGTGAAGCTAAGTCCATCGCACACTCCAAAACCATCTCCTTTGTCAGGAGTGGGATTTGAACCCACGCCCTTTAGGACCGGTGCCTTAGACCTACAGGAGGAAATGGAGAAGACCCACCTGATTCGGTGTCCAGCCCTAAAGACAACAACGAAAAGCCAGAGATACTGGGAAGCAAGAAGCCAGCTAATGAACTGCTATTAATTTACTGCTCTATATGTACCCCCCCCCCACAGCCAGTGTAATGAACTGCTATTAGTTAACTGCTATATATGTACCCCCTACCCATGGGGCAAGCTGAAGTCAAAGTGTAAGGGCTAATGATAAATATCATAAAGCCTGCCATTCGAAATAAATAAATGATTTATGATCAGTTTAAAATAACGAATTGCAATGACCTTGGAATTTTGACCGTTTACAAATAAGCAAATTTATGATCAATTAAAGCTGGTCTAATATAGAAAGCAATAGAACTGAGGAAAGTTTTCCGAACTGTTAACAAAGCAGAAAGCCTCCTTCTACCCCAAAATCCATTTGCAGACACCGAAATACAATTTGCACCCAACTTCTTGGCCATTTCATGAAAGCAGACACCCCACCAGATCAAATGCGATTATTGGACCTTGGGACAATCAATGTATATTATCCTGTAGGTCAGTGACTCCAGGGTGCAGGTGCTTACTCTCAATCATTCTCTTTCTTCACAGCAGCAAGACAAATTAGATCCGCTTTTGAATGAGAAATAGAGGCCATTAAGATAGCACTATGCCAATTGTGCTGTCAGAATACTAAATTCACCAACGCAGTACTTCTTGCACACTCGCTGTAATTAATACAGTCAATTTGAAAAACTGTATCTGTTACTCAAAGAAAAAAACAGAATAACAGTTCTCCAATGGACCCCCAAACACTGTGGCATTAAAGGCAATGGGCGCTAGCACACTTGCTATGAAGGAGACCACAATTTTGTAAGCTATAGACCACACAATGAAGACCTTACTCAGGAGAGAATTCAGGACTTCAAGAAGCGACTTATTGTCCGAACAAAGGAGAAGCAGTGAACAGCGGCATTCTGCAACGTATCTAACTGTCCAATAGCCGAAGCTGTCGCTGATTTTAAACTATTTATTAAACACGATTACCTGGCAAGGCAATTTCACAGAATAGAATTATGCACTCAACCAGCATGTACCCCATGTGACCTACAGGAGAAAATGGAGAAGACCCACCTGTTACGGTGCCCAGCCCTACAGGCAAAGACAGAGATGTAGCGGATTGCTACGCTAGTAAAGCCTGACCTAAGTCTCAGGAACCTTTTGGGCAGTTTCTCCTAATTACTGAGTCTCCAGAAAGAGACGTATCACAGAAACGTTTATTCACCAGATAAGGATAGCAAAATGTGTGTTTTTGGCAAAGCGATTAGTTATCAGATAAGTCTAGCATAATTCGCATGAACGTTAATAGCTAAATATTTGTGGGTAAAGTTCTATAGCAGGATTTCTATTTGAACATTGATGAAGAGTCCCACAGAGACCTAGAGATACTGGGAAGCCAGTAGTCAACTAAGGAGCTGTAAAAATATTACAAAGTATGTCAATTGTAATTAATAAAAAAAGGAGCAATTTAAAATATTTTTGATTTAATTCATTTGGATAAAATTGTCCATTTTATTCAACACCAAACAGCGTTAATTATGAAAAATAAAGTGATTTTGAACTTTGGGACTCATTGAATCGTATCGTACTCTGTTCGGAAACAATATTAAGGCGAATGTATGCATTTTTGTTAGATTATTATTATTATTATAGTGCTCATAATGACAAGAAATGATTATTCACAGTTATTCATTATGCTAATCAGAGTGTTATGCTGCCCATCAAATGCCGATAATTTCAAATTTGAAAATAGTAATTTTCTTCGACCACCTTGGAGGATTTTTGATAATATTTCATCAATATTACTTTAGTTCCGTGTTATTATTCGTTAAAAATTGTTATACATGGTAAATATATGTTTAATAAATCCTATGATTCAATTTTGTTACCTCTTGATTTGAAAGAGTTTCAAGGGATTGGAAATTTAGCTGTCTCCTGTGCAATTATTTAAGTTTTCATGGAACTTTAACTACGTCGTATGATCTCAGCCTTAAAAGACTTATATTGATATTCGAAGGTTTGATATAGAATGGAGATGTCGAAACTGGGGCATTCATTTTTAATTTGAGATTGAAATTCTTTTTTGCCACATTAGAATGCTAAAATTATGTCCACTGAATCGACGCAAGTGGTATCACTAACTCAAACAGTCATTAGTAGAGACCACTTTTAAGCATTTTTAAGAATTACTTTTTTATCGTTATATACTCAATAGTTGCTAAATTTTAAAATACTGAACTGCGAATGGTCATAGACTTAGACTGGTTTAATATTCCTCAATGGTAAATACGCACTGTTAGACTGTAAAGCAGACCACGATAGCTCAATTTTTCGATTCTGAATTATAATTTTGTAGCTTTGACAGGCAATGGAAAGTAATTTCATCATTAATAAGTTTATGAAAATGCGCTTTAGTAGAGAAGTGTATTAAAAAACAAGCATAAGGATATTCTTTAACATGCCATGGGTGAACAATATTCTTTTAACAAATGGCGTAATTTTTGACCATTTTAAATCAAAGTCGATAAATATTTTTTTAAGATTTGAGCAAATTTATACCTATCGTATTGTGTAAATAATTTCTAAGGCTGCGTAATCGGTAAGCCACACATTGCGATTAAAATGGTGGCCTTTTCCCATTTTAGCCAATTTTTGAGCTAGCTGATTGCAATAAGGCCTTTTTATTTACAAGCCTGGAATAATGAGTTCCGCAGATGTTGACCAGCAGTACACTCACCAAATAGGGGATGCATTTCGAAAAGTCCACGACTTGGCTGGTATTCCTCTGTCTGAGGACGTTCCTGTTATACAGGCTGCCAATTTTTCTGTTCTTTACCAGGTTCGTATAACTGCATGTAATATCTAATTTGGTTGACAGGCCAATTCTGATACGAATTTCAGCGATATAATCGCATTTAAATCTGCTTTTGCTGGATCTTATGAAGATGCAATTGTTTATGCTGAACTGCAAGATTTGTACAATCAAGGCTATGAATATGCCGTTATGCTTTACACTTGGCGTTCTATCTCTCGAGCTCTTCCACATGTAGGACTATTGATTTTGTCTCAAGTTTTCTAGATTCGCTCAAATGAACAACCACATCGTCTTGAAATATATCAAAAAACTCTTGAAATTCTTGAGCCTTATGCTAAAAAACTTCAATCCTTTATGCTATTCCAGGAAAGTGCTATCGATTGCTTCGTTGGAAAATTGAAAGGGCTTTCTCGCAAGGAGTCCCACCACAAATCCGGTTTCATGAACCAGATGTACCTGATAATGCTTGGAAAAATGCTCAAAATGTTTGCCCTCCTAGATGAGATGAAAAACATGAAAGCTAGTATGAAGAACGATTTTTCGCATTTCAAGCGGTTCGTTAAAGGCTTTGATTAATGTATAATTTTATCATAGAGCTTCACAGTTTATGCAAAGTGGAGGTTCACAAAATAATAAGGATGAACAAATGAGCGTGAATGAAATGCAAAGGGTCAGTATATTCCTCGCTACACAGAAAATTATTCGCGATAAACTCAAAGACAGTCTTAGCCAAATTGATGGATTTGAGGATATCTTAGCGGAGATTATAAACAGTTGCGTTAGTATGTATGAAAATCGTGTTTACGTTCTGCCTGAAGAAAAACACACCCTTGTTATGGTAAGGCGTCCGCAGTTGTGATACTTACTTGTTCTTAGGTTATTGCTTTTTCACTCTATCTTCTGGATTCGTCAAAAGTTGTGGAGGGGAAACAAATTGGTGTGACTATTCCCAAGATGATGAAGAAGATAAGCATCCCGAAAATTGATCGTATTTTCAAGGAGTGTGAAGTGGTCAATCTCTTTGGAGACATGAGTGTTGAGCCATTTAATTATGTTAAACAGACGCTTTCATTTGATCCTTCCAAATGGCCAGAATGCACCGGAAATCGGGTTTCCAGCCAAGGGGTTCTGCTTACGCATATGTCCCGTTTTTTGTAAGTGATGTTTATGCATCGTTTAATTCTATTACTGCAGTAATAACTTTTTCGAATAAAGAAATTTCTTGCTTTCGCACACATTGGTATCTAATCCGTTGTTTCTCTACTTGATGCCTGATTGCTGCGTTGCACTTTGACCTCACTAGCATTTACGCTCTTTTATTTCCATTGTTTATGACTTAATTATTTTGAAATTCAATGATTGATACCTTTTATAATCCCATCAACATTCATTTAATCTGGAGTAAAAAGTAGTTTATAGTTATGGGCTGTTGCGCGATGAATTGAAGCTGTCCGAATTTCTAAATGTTTTGATGTATTCGTTTTCCGGCTTAATCGGGGGTTAATAAAGTGTGTAATCGTGTTTAAATCTTTATTCTTTTAAAAGTGACGTGTTTCATCCATAAGGGGCTTTTTAGCTTAATTTCACAGAATCTTAAAAAAATCGAAATATATATTTATGTGAAAATCTATTACATTGTAATGGTCTTAATCTCTAAAATCTATTGAATTTAAATTCATTTAGCTTCCTGTAGATGATTGATTTAACTAAATTGATAAATAGCCATATGCTTAATCTCCTTGAGTTAGGTGTCATGCATTGCTCATTAACTAACCCGGATTATTGTTGATGTTCGAAGTAGGATGGAAGTATGATTTTCCGCACTCCCTTTCAATGCAATAATTGTTATTATTTCCTTTGCAGAAACGAGTATACTTCCTTGACTGCTGATCTTGCTTGGCATACAAATATTGCAGTCACTAGAACAAGCGAACGCTCTGTCGCTGAAAATCGGGAGCTCTACGATCTGGCTCTCCGAGGCTTACAATGCCTCTCCTCTTGGTCGGTTCAAGTCCTCGACACTTTTACTTGGAAGCTTGCCCACTGCGCTGACGAATTTACAAATAGAGACTGTCCCAAAGATGCCGAAAACTACGAGAGAGCCACGCGTTATAATTACACAGCAGAGGAGCGTAATGCCCTTATTCGCCTCGTCACGATGATCAAATCGGTTCAAACTCAACTTCTCCGTTTGGAGACTAATTACTCAGAAGCCATCCGCAGATCGGTCTACCTCGATCTTCATGCTCTCTTGAATCACTTTAGGAATCTGCTTATTAAGGCGAATAACAAGAAAAAGGATAAAATTAAACTCAACCGATTGGTTCATGCTCTTCAAGCGACCTGTGCAGACCAAGCTGTGGTGGATGCTGTAGAAGCTGATCTCCTAATGACAGGATCAAGTAGTAGTGGCGGCAAATCAGGTTGGGGAGGGCGGTCAATGTCCGCCAAAGCCTCTGCTCAAAATAGTCTCACTTCCGGATCGAATTCGACACTGGCAAAAGCGGCCGCGTCGATTTCCGGTACCACTATGCGTCGTGTAGGTCCCTCGTCCACTCAACTCTACTTAGTTCGCACAATGCTCGAACTCATGATTGATCAAGCTTCACCGGTGGCAAAATATCATTCATTGAGAAAGGAGCTGGATGGAAATACCATGACACTGATTGAAAACTTCCTGAAGAATAGTTTTTATTGGCCGTATCTTCTCAACTTTAGCGGTGAGTAAATCTCTATTTATCTTCCATTGATAACGTAGATAATGTGCAGCTTTATCTTTAATTTTTTTGTCGGGGTAGTGGGGCGGGAGGGGATGGAGAAGTTCAGTTTTTTTCGGAATTTAATTTTCTTAATCTCTCAGCTCAGAACAATGTATGCGTTGCTTTTATAAAGAGAAGATTTTTGATGAAACTCGCATTTACTATAATGTAAACTTCAAGTATGAAGCATTTTAATCTCCTGTGTCTTTTTAAAAACCTGTTAATTGTTAACCCTGAGGACCAATAATCCCATTGATAGTGAAGTAACGCCACCTTATTTTTTGAAAAATTTCGTATGCATTTGAAGCTTCACACTTAACTAGTTTCACTCACAATACCTTGTGGCGGGCTTTACACTTTTAGAGACGGGAATCGAACATTTTGACTTTATAACCATTGCAACTCGATTAAATCGAAGACTCCTTTTGCGTGCTCGATTGATTTGTCTTTGCAATTAATTTTTGTACCTGATTACCCGAAACACACTTGAGCATAAGAGTACTAGGAAGAATGCATGGCCACCCAAAGCCAAAGTCTTCCATTGGAGTTTTGCCCCAGAGGTTGCGAGCTCTTCACTGTTCATCATGACTCAGCGAGACATCCATGGTGTTATTGACTATAAAATATTTACTTTTAAAATAGTCTCTTGACGTTTTTATCTGATGTGCGATCCCTTTTTTTTAGATATTCGCTTCCGTTTTAATAATTCTCTCATATTGCCTTGTGTTTCAATTGATTTCGCCCAGTTTGTTGTTGTTTGCTTGTGAATTTTCACAACGAAAGTTGTTGTGTGAAATTAGTAGAAACTGTGGGTTTACATTTAGCTCTTTGTATTCTTTTTTATATATTTATAGTTACACTATGATTTGCTCTGTTCACTTTTTTGCCAAATATTGATCGATTTGATGATGTAAAGATGAGCCAATACATGTGTAATTTGACTTTGTATCCCATTGCAAAATAACACTGCTTTACTATAATGAATCTGCGTTTTTATCACCACTTCTACTTAGCTTATTTTGGTTCATTTAAATGAACATTTTGACTGGAATGTATAGGTTTCTAGACAACATTTACTGAAGAGTAGGATGGAAATTTAGTCAGTTTGGGTTCTAGCTACCAAGTTAAGTGAATGAAGATTGCAGTAGATTTGGTTCCCTTAGGTGAATACTTGCTTTACTTCACAGTCTCTTGATCTCAAATTTCACAACCTGTGTTTTCACCCAATCACCCCCAAATTTCCCTCTGAACCCATTAATATCCCTTTTGTCTTGCTGTCTGACTTTATTACAGATTCCTGTAATAACCCATGTGCAAAATTTATGACTGCTTAAAAATTAATTGTCAATGTATTTTTTTGAAAGTAAAGTAACAATGTTATAACACCAAGTTCTTTATTGATTATAACTTTGAGACTATTCCGTTTTCTGTAATGTTTTAACTCCTTTCTCGTTTTATGCACTTAGATTTAGGGTATATAAGTTCCTATTTCTCATCCCTTCGTTTTTGGAAAATTTAGTTCTTAAATGACCTTTAAATTGTATCCTTTTTTACAAAAAATTTTTTGGTATATGTTCGTTTGACTAAAGATGATGTCAATTGTACATTCATTCCTATTTTATAACATTAGTCTTGCGCTTTTTAGAATGATAAAATACTCAATTTTTCGTCGAGAAAGTATATTGCTATTCGGTTCAATTATTTTGCTCATTCGTGTGTATGCTTCTTTGATATCACGTGTCTTTTTATTTTCTAGAATTGCGGACTGAGACTTATTCTCACGTTTGCTTAGTGTAAGCGGCCGTTCTCTTCAACAAATTTTGCTCGTTTTACCTTTGTTCCGACTGTGGCGGATTAGGAAATGGGAAAAATGCCCAGAACTTACACTCTTTTGGGTAGAAGGAAACTCCTTTTGTTAAATGGAAACATTGGGGGGGGGGGGGGGGGGGGGGGGTNGGGGGGGGGGGGGGTGGAGGGGGGATCCAGGCGAGTCTATACCAATAATTTAAGCAATAATTTAATTTAATAACTTAATTGAGACAGTAGGTAGGCAAATTACTGCTTATAGAGCATATCCAAGCAATGATTTACTTATCAATATTTCAGGTTCTAAATTGTGTTTTACTTTTTTTCCTGAAGTAATAAAATCCCCTTGTTAACCTTTTCATTGCTATTTCGGAAAGATGAAGCTATTTTCTATAGGATTGATCGTTATTTTCCACACCACATATCTACCTTGTAAATTAGCTTATTCACTATTTGGTATGGCCTACCTTAACGCAAGTGACTGTTTCCGAAAGTGGTTTGCGTGACAATTTTGGGTAAGCAGTTCAGTTAATTTGGAATTTTTTATTATTTGATTTTAGAAACCCTAGTGAAATGTTGCGACCTTTCCCAGCTCTGGTACCGTGAATTTTTCCTGGAGATAGCTAATGGCACTCGCATTCAATTTCCCATTGAAATGAGTCTCCCATGGATTCTCACCGATCACATTTTAGGGACACACGATCCGGCCCTTATGGAATCCCTTCTCTACCCCCTGGACCTCTACAACGATGCCGCCGATTGCGCTCTGAATCGCTTTCATCGTCGCTTCTTCTTTGATGAAATTGAGGCAGAGGCCAACTTAGTTTTTGATCAGTTGGTATACAAGCTCTCGGATCAGTTGTTCCGATACTATAAGCAATATGCCGCGTCAATTCTTCTCGATAAGAAGTTTAGGATGGAAGCGCAGCGAGCTGGATGGCGCGAACCGTATCCTCAGCCTAATCGCTACGCTGCGTCTTTAATTCGTCAGAGAAGTGTTCAACTACTGGGGAGGTCTATTGATCTCTCATACCTTCTCTCACAGAGAATTAATAAAGCAATTATGAAATCACTCGAGGAAGCTATTCATCGCTTCCTTTGTTCGGACTTAACTGCAGTTGTAGTAAGTTACCTACTTTTTTCAATTAAGTAGGCCCTATGGAGTGGGATTTATTGTTTTTTTTGGAAATTGTAGATATTTTGAGAGATGGAACATATTGCAGAATATATTAATTTAGATTGCCGAGATGACTATTAAATTTTTATCTGTTCAGTAAATTTTTATTGCGTTTATGGGTCTGTCAAATGGTCATTTTGAACCATAAGGGTAGATTTCAATTGCGACTTAAATGTGTTGTGTCATGTAAAGATGACTCAAAAATAGGAGATAATACTATTCGTATTTCGATACTTTAGATAATTGTTAACATTGGGTATTTCGCGAAGTCACTGTACGTTGAACTTGATGGTGTCCCTAAATCATAATTGAACATTTTCTTTCCCAAAGACCACAATTTAAGCAAGGTAAATAGACGATTTTCTGGAAGTGGGCATCTTCAAAACTCAGTTTTCGTTCGATTGTTCAAAATTTATTGAGAAATGAACTTGACGAATTTAATCGCATATAAATGGATTTTTGATGGACTTATAAATTATTTTAACTTATTTTAAGATGGTTTGAAGTAAATCTTTTCTTTAATTCAGAATTGGGAAGAGACTATCAACGCAGTCTCAGTTTCTACGTTTAGTCGTAATAAGTTAGGTTATATTTTTTTATACTTGCCTATGTCTCCAAGTAATGCAGTTGAGGCTGTATCAGTCATATTTTGATTGTGTTGGACGAACTTTGTGGAAATGGAGAGGTGGGGTAGAGCAGTAGAAGTAGAAAGTATGAAACAATAGAATTTATGAACACAAGTGGAAATGAGGTATGTTGGGAAAGTTGTGTATTTGTGCGATCAAGATAAGCAGGCGTAGTATGTTTTGTAGCTCTATCATTGTACTGTCATTGATGTCCACATTTATTGTTGGGGATGTGAAAGGCTTGATTTAGAACACTTCTTCCATTCCAATTTTGGTATCGCTTGCACACAAAATAGGGTAATTAAATGTGTTAAAGTAGGCACATTTCCAATAATTCACAAATCTCTATTCATCTGCCAAAATCCATCTTAAGCTAACGAAAGGCGTCATAAGGAGTCCTAGTTTTAACTCTTCCTTTGAATTGATCTATTAATTATTCCCCTTCAGGAATTGGAAGCCATGATTGAATGTAATCGTCTGTGTCATCGAATGCTCGCTGAATACTTGGAGTTGGACGATTTTGATGATATGCTCCAGGAGGCGAATAATTTGGTCACTTCTCCCTTGAGTCAACTTGCCCACCACATCTTTTGGGAAGTTGCTTGTGATCTAGTCAAGAATTACTGCTACAATGGTGCCACAAATAGGTAAGCAGATTACGTTGCATTCGGAAACCATATTATTTAGATCTGAAATCCTGTTTACATTTACTTGAATTCGTTTTTCTGTTGCAAACCTATCTAACTCTTAGCGGAAGAATTATTCCTTTTTCTGAATTGTAAATGCAGCCGTTGATAAGTACAACTGATTATTAAGTCCCTTTCTCGAGCAAGCTTTTATCCTGCACCTCGTGGTTTATTCCTCTTTCTGTTGGAAGTGGTGCTTGTGCTATCAGTAAATACCGCGCCTTGAAGGCAATTCTACAACTTCCTGACGTAACTATCTGACCCCATTTGAGTCGTCATTTACTGACAGTCTAGATTTGAACTATTTTCAAACACTCCATTTTAGGGTATATATTTTATGTACGATTGCCTCCACAATGACCACATGGATGTTTGTTGTAAGTATATAGTGAATTCTACTCACTTCCCTTATGCTAATCTCTATAGATTGCCACGTACTATTTTTTTACTTATTTAAGCAGACCATTTATTTGCTAGTCTGATAGATGTCGATTTAGTTTATTGCGATTTATTTATTTCTAAAAGGGATTTGATGAACATTGTTCTTTTTTGTCTCCGTTTCACTTCAAGATTCGTTCGCACAAAGTTTGCATTGGCTGAGAGTCTTGAGCGCGGCAAGCCACGCTTATGTGCTTTAGAATACCAATGGGGTAGCAAGAGCCTCAATTCCTGCTATGAGGCCATCTTTCAACTCTATCGCGGATTTATTGGGGCGCCGCACTTCTCCGCAATCTGCAGACTTGTTGGCTACCAGGGGATCTACATCATCTTCACGGAAATATTGAAATTCTCAAAGTCTCTGGTGAGTCCCCTCCTCCCCCCTCAATGTGGATTAACTTTTTGGTACCTGTATGATTCTTTATCGGGCAAACGAATTTGAAGATGAAGGATGCTTTTTTGTCATTAGTGTGCTGCTAACAATTCTGAAATTTCTCTAGCCTCTGCCCCATATTACCTTTACTGAATCGCAGAAGCAGCCTAACGTTACTACCACATTTGTTGTACCTTCAAACGTCTTCTCATAAGTTGCTTAATTTTTTTAATGACTCTATCTTTATGGAAAAGAGATAAAAGTACTGTTATTAAATACCTGATTCTGCTTTACATGCATAAATAATATGAACCTTGGACAGTTTTTTGCATATTATTGGCCTTATGATGATTAATTGACCATCTCAGTTAAACTTCCTTTCAGATAGAACTCGAAAACTTTTTTGTCTGGTATAATCTCAATTCCTGATTTATTTTTTGCTTTCATCTCTACTTAAATGTTAGCACATTGAAATAATAATTGAGTGTCAATCTAGGTCCTTTAAAATTAAAAAAAGAAATATGGAGGGTTTTAAACTATCTGTTCTAAGGTATTTTAAGACTGCAGTTTAGAGTTACCTCTACGTTGAATCCCCTTCTGGTATCAATATAGTTGGCCTCTACGACCAAATGCATCATGAAATGTGTTCGCAGTACTTGATTCAGGTGGAGGGTACTATCCTGAAATTGCTATTACGAAAAACGTAATTTCTACAATCTCTTTTATTAATATGAATTAAACGGTTCGGTTGACCATCCACATCATTGGATGTATATCGATGGGAGTCGATCTCGCGATTTCCTACTTGCCAGACGTGTGCGTTGAATTTTGCACCACGAGCAGTCAAAATATTTTTCCCCACATTTCTGTACCATAGTCTTGGCTAACTTTGTTCTTTTATTGACCGTACATTTTATTAGATAAATCAAACAATCAAAGAATACGTGCGCAGGATTGCCAGTATGATGCCCAAATCTGTGCCACTCCCCAGTGGGGCAGCTAACTCGGAGAGCCAGTACGCTCTCTACACACACGCTTTTCAGCGCGTCTACCAGTATCTGGAACTCCGAACCAACGTTTGCCAGAACTTCCGCGAATTGGGCAACATTATTATCTTCTGTTTGCAGATAGAGAAAAGACTGGTAAGCAGCATAAGGGATGTTCTTGGAGTCTGTTACTGTATGCATCGTTTTTAGAGTCAAGCTTTGCCTTTAATATCGATAGTTATGTTGTTAAGCTATCAGTAGTAATGGTGTTTCATTGAATTTTGCTTTCTTCTTTTAGACCACCGAAGATCTCTGCGATTTGAAGCATGCTGATGCTTTCATTAGAAAACCACCAGGTAATATTCAGTCTAAATATTGCATCATGGGTTACTTTAATAAGTTACGCTAATTGGATAAATTTGATCCTTCGATAGGTGAAAGGCCAAATTCCGATCCCAAAATGCGGGAGAAATTAAGTCCCATCGATGCTCTGAACATCTACAAAGTCGCTGTGGCAGTGGGTTCACCTGAGGTAATATCATCTATGAATTTACTATTTTAAGAGCTGGTAGACTTCAGTCGCAATAATAAATGATAGTAGTAATGATAATTAAACCAATGGAGTAACGCGTCACACAGCTAATTGACAACTCGAGATACAGAATGAAGATTAATTCAGCAGGATTGTAGTTATGGGTTCTTTTAGGCACGTTTCCACGCGATTTAATGTAGTTGAGTAGAATGGGGAGTGAGAGAGAGAGAGAGGGATGGTATCTCGATTCTCTCATACCACTTTCTTCCCTTGCTTTAACATCAGAGACTGACTCAGACTTGAAATGTTGGCCATAAGCTGTAAGTACCTTCCACTGTCACCTGATGCCTATTCTAATTATAAATTCCTTCAGTTATTTCAGAAATATTGAAATATATATGTTATTTTCTTCTAGCTCATCGAACTAGCAGATGGAAATGAAGTACTTACGAGAGAACGCCTGTGTTGTGGTTTGGTGCTTTTTGAGCAGGTAAAACTTATATTTTTTTTCATATCCGTTTGCGATTTCATTTTCATGAATAATGCCATTGGTTGAAAAATTGTTTTGATTTTTTTTGCTAGCCTCATGATTCATTTTTCAGTAATAAATAAAAGGCGAATTTCCTCTTTCGGTTATGGTTAAGAATGCGGGGAGACAATAGAGGTGTAGTGTTTCAAGGCAAAGCTTTGTTCAATTTCAAGCGTTATACCCTCCAATAGTAAATTTTCATTTTTAATTGATGTCTGAATGAAAGAAACGCACTCGTTTTATTTTATTTAATGTAAACCAACCTCATATAATATATGAATCGCTGGACCACCCCAGTATATTATCACATCATGAAAAAATGTGTAAACACAGTTCTCATCTCGAATGTAGAACGCCTTAAGTTGTCTAATCAGGAAGTGTATTTGTACTGGCTTATTATTTCCAAACGAGGTCTGGGGTTTTGATTTATGCCATAATCAAACAATTTCAATCTCGCGTTCTGTGGTCGAAATGTAGCCTTGAGGTAAATGGTTTTCCACGTGTCACCCTTCCGTTCTCGTGCTTGGAAGCAGCAGCAGTAGCATCTCAAATTCCTCTATTGCTGATCAAATTCTTGTTCACTATAACAGGCACTTATTCATTTGTTTTCTTTAAAGATTAAAAAATTATCGTCCTGCCTAATTTTAAGTAGCCTATATGGTATTATCAAAACATTGTTGAGATATTTATATCAAATGGTAGGCGTTTTGATGGTTATAATTAGCCCATTAGTGGACTTTAGGCTTCACAGAGAGGAGAAGGAACATCAAAGTTAAAAACAATTTGAGAGGGGGGGGGGGGAACAGAAGAGTGTTTCAAAGACGAAGGTAGAAAAAAAGGTGAGGTGAGTACTGTGGAAGTAGTCGAATATGACATACAGTGGGGTGATGATAGTTTGAAGTCAGAAGTCAACTGCCGGTTGATTGACTTTTTTGGCGCATGAGTATACGTTGTCCAGGGTGCACCACGTGGAGGTAAGTCTATCACGCACCCCACATTGTTGAGATAAAATTTTATTGATATCTTTCCTTCTTACTGTTACCAAAAGTGGGCACTTTAGACATATACCTATCTATTGAGTTGTATTCGGCTCTTCTCATTCTTATTTTTACGCTTGAAGTGAATCAGTGCTTATACCCCAATCATGAGTTATTACATATTTTATGATGAATCCTAAAAGCCCTGATAAATATGAAGAGTTGTATATATATATATATATATATATATATATATTCTCAATGTATGTATCATTATGGTGTTTCGTCATTTTATGAATTTTAACACTAAAAGGAATTGCAAATAGAAAGGTAAGTGTAAAGTGGGTTCTATTCTCATCTCATCTGTATGTTCTACCTCATAGGAGTAAAATTTCCTCGTAGAATAAATACTTCCACAAGACATTAATCGGTCTAATTTGAATATTATACTGGTATCACTTTGCCATGAAATCAATATTTATAATATAAACCAAGCCCTACCTCATTCAATTAGAATTTTAGCTATTTCCCATATTCTAGCTCCTCAACCGCATTCGAGACTTCCTGAACGAACCCGACGAACTACCACCTAGTGCCACCGCAAGTGGGCTTCCTCGGCAAGTAGTTCGTAATGTTTGGTATGGAAATGAAATTTCAGCCAACAGCAATACAACAGCAGACAAAAAAGAGGATGTCTTGGAAATCGATGGTTGCACTCAGTTTCATCGTGTCTGGTCAGTCATTCAATTCGTATTCAGCACACCGTTCGGTGAGCATGAGTACACTGTGGAAGAAATGTTTGGAGAAGGACTCAATTGGGCTGGATGCACCCTGATTACTCTCCTGGGTCAACAGAGAAGATTTGAAATGCTTGACTTTGGTGCTCAATTTACCAAGCTTCAGAGGAGCGATAAGAAAGAGAACTCGAAGGATGGAGTAGTATGTTAATCATTTTGTATTATTTTATATTCCCAGACTATGGTTAAGATTGCTCGTGTTTTATGCTTTTTAATGGTTAAAAATTTATGACTTTTTAGAGTGAGGTTCATTTCATAATTCTCTCTTCCCTACTATCTAAAAGAGCCTGGAATGCCATTATATCTGATTAATTTAGCTTCCCTTTTTCCAATGCAAGTATATTTTGACTTAGGGTTCCAACTATTTTCTTGACTGCTTCACGAGAGATTTAATCGCGCTCTATTTTTCATATGTCCAATCGATTTGTCTAAAGGAGATAGTGAGACAATCCAATAGAAGACGTCTGGAAGGCAGCTCACCGAAGAAAGTTGAGTCAGGTTCTTTATCATCTTTAAAAATGGTCTGTTAGTGATGGACTCCAGTGTATCTCATAAAAATTAGGCAGATACACCTAAAAGAAGACATAGTTAAAGAGTACCCTTAGTTAATCTCGAGGAAAATGATAAATTCATTTCCAGATATACTATATTCTATAATTAACTTACGTTTACTGTGCGTTTGTTCCTTAATTCAGACTTAATGGGCTTTTGGGGATTTATCCCCGTTGGTCGGAAACGCTAGCTTTGTGTCACAGTTAAGCGCGTAATTTTTTGGAAATTATGCGCAAGATCAAAAGCTTACATCAAATCGCAGTATATATTATATTATATTGACTGAAATTTTGTGAGTAGATGAACGGTGGGAAGTTAATCCTTCTCAGTTGGCCAGACCTTGGAACTGGCCACACTAAGAGTATTAACATCTTTGTCTTATCTCTCCACTTCGTTCCAAATACCTTCCCCCATCATCTAGTTGAATTGCTCTTCTTTTGTTTGGATGTTTTCACTAATTTGATTTTCATGCAATCGACATTCGTTTCACTTTGGTCAATATTGGATTTTCTTTTTTATATTTCTTCTCAACTCGAATTTTTTCATGAAACGTAAATATGCATTCAGGAACAAATTTTATCCCGAGTATGAACACAAACCAAGACCATATCAGACCCAAAGTGTTAATTGTTAGTATCCAATCTGGCGTGCGATCTTTCCCTTTTCTTATTTTTCGTATTTTCTTCATTGTTTAAAGTTTGTTAACCCCTCTTAAGTTCAATTTTAATTCCTTTCTCCCTATACGTATAATATGCTTCCCTATATAATTGGCAACGGAATCAGCTGATATCCCGTTGGCCACTTATAAAACTCGTTTCACGAACGAACTTCAAGTAAATCCTAAAGAAAGTCACAAAATTCGTTAATAATATGATATATTAAGTAAATTTAAAATATAAATTGTGAAATACAATTTTAGTTTAATATTTTTTTCCGGTCTAAATAAATTATTTTTTCTTTGAAACTTTGGCAGTCAATATAATTTTCCTAGATTTCTTTTACATTTTAATTTCTATTACTTTATTGTTATTGTTTGTCGCCTTTCCTTGGGGGAGGGGGGGGGATAATTTATAATGGGTATTTGCTATTGCCAGCAATCTTCATACCAGTGTAATCCGGGAAATATTTGATAGATACTCTTTTAATATCCTCTTAATTTGAAGCATTATTCGCGTACATTTGGTAGGACTTTTAGGTCGATTATACTTCTCTCTGCTTTTTCAATCCTATTTTTGATTGATTATCGATGAGGATATAGGACGATCTTTTTCCTTTATATCTTTTCATTACACTCATGCTATGGTGACCTTCGAACTTATTTGAATCGGAGGGGGGGGGGGAGGGTAGATTAATCCATCAATACTACTTGAAAGACGTGATATTAATTATGTTTGTTTTATCAATTCCAGTGCTTGGCTCGATTGGCTACGCGTTTAAGTCGTTTCAACGTTCTCAATCGTCAAATCTTTGCCATTCTCAACAACTATTTGCATCCGATTGATAGACCCGAGAACCAAACCAATTTTCGCCACTTCCCACCTCCTCAATGGTCACGAGCCTCTTAAGAACTTAAATACTTTTCCCTGCGAAACCCTCCTCTGCATTTTCCCAAATTGAATCGAATCATCATCGTTTATTCCTCCATTGTATGCTCCATTCTGACTTACTTTTACTTGCCTGCCATTCCCTTTTTTCAATACGCCTTCTCTCCTCTTCCTCCCCTCCCCCCCCCCTCCGTCTTTTATATGATCTTCCTCCTTCCTCTTTTTGATTAAACTCCTACTGAGCTATATCAGTGATAATGAATTTGGTGGAGCTCTACCGACTCCAATAATTTCTCTATTCTTCCTTTGTTGATTTGTAAACATCATTAATTATTGTTAGTATTGGTCTTCTGTTTATGCGTGGTAATTGGAATAGTGATTTTAAAAAATATATTATTATTACCACTAATTGTGTTTGGATATTAAAATGAGTTATTTTGTGTTGCTTATACTTTTATTGTGGGAAGTGGTACTAACGTTGTTTGGTTTCTCTGAAAGGATGGGTTCATCAACCGTGAATATGAGGGGGAGGGAACCTCCGATGGTGTTCCTTGGTGAAAATGTCCCCCTTTTAGCCATTATGAATAACCATTGAAAATACTAAATTGTATGGATTGGAGTATTGCGACCCTCTCTGTCCATCCACAAGAGATATGGCTCCTGTCGGCAAATATATTTCTTGCTTGCCTTGCGATGATATTATCTAGGTGAGCTGTTTTATCACTGAATATGAGTTCGGAATAACCGTCTCTTGAACCCTCCAAGAAATGTCAGAGTTGAATCTTAAATGGATGTATATTCAATTTTTTAATTAACACAAAACGGTTAACCTAAATACTCTATACGACTTTTTCCCATGGCATTAATCGGACTAATTGTTCGCACCTATGAATTAACATTTTTTGAACTGAAATTAGAGTTGCTTACATGTCTCCTCCGTTAGTTTACTACAGAAAAATCTGTAAGCGACGCCATTTCCTAAGTGTCTCGGGATTTGCAAACAACCGCACAAGGTTTGATTATTAGCTTTGAAAACATCCGCTTTATGTAGTCTATAACCTTGGCTCTTGGCCAAATATTTATGCACAAGTCTGCATAAACTCTGTTTTCAGTTCCAGGTATGGTTCACATTTGTCCTTCCAATAGGGTTAATAGTCTATTCAGATAAAAATCATTAAGCATTTTGAAGGTGCAAAAATCAAAATCAATACTGGTTGTCTGTTATTATTTCTCATGACAATACATATTGTCTTCAGTCAGTTTTAGTTAATAGAAGCCTCCCAAACAAGATGAATAGTGGAATATTCCAAACTGGAGTGAAGAAGGTGGATCACAGGGAGAAATAGAGTAAAGTCGAACCATTTTGCTTACTTTGCCGGGAATTGTTACGAAATGGAAATTGGAGCCTGACAGGTTTCCACTTCCACTGATTTTAGTGATGCCTTCTTTATACTATTCAATTATTATCATTACCCACAAATGCCCATTGTAAAAATTTCAGCAATTGAATATGGGAGGGTAGGGGTAGGGAAATAGATGAAACATCTGATAGCAATGCGAGAGTATCAAGTAATTTTTTTACATCATTTGAATTCGTCGGATTGGAGTTGTATAAAATTTAAAAACTGAGTAGCTCGTGTTAAAAGATTCGATAATTATGATTTTCTCCAAGATTTCAGCAAGTACTTGCCAATGACTTTCACTTCTTACTGGTCGGTTTATTACTCCGAAGAGCGTCAGTTTTGCCACTTACCTTGGATTTTTATTTCAATGTTTGAGAACTCAAAGCAGCTGCACATGATATTTATCATCTTGAATGTTCTCTAGCCTTCTAGGAAAGCGTTTTCCAACTTACATCAAGAGTAAAGAGTGGTGTCGTGGGAGCCTGCCTGTTGAAAGACTCGTATGTAAGTTTGAGTTAACTAGTGCGGTTGGTCTTTCTACCCACTGGGTATGTGACGGTGGGAATTGATCCCATGGACTTTGGCATATCAGACGCACGCGGGTAATCAGTGTGCCACTCACATTAGTTTACAGTTTTAACATCTTTATAATATGATTATGTGCTATGATTGGTCATACCATTTTATATATATTTTTTTGTCCAAATAGTCAAAGTGGAAGAGGTCTTGAGTTTTGTATCATGCAGGAAACTATATTGAGCGTTTGCGCAGGGTCACGTATTGTCTAGCAGCCATTTTATACAAAGCCTGTATTTCTCTCTGTTTCGTTATCCCATACTAAGTTTGTTCATGGCTGGAATTTATTTGGGATGTGAATACTTTGCAATGTCAAGTGCATGTCCACAGAGAGTTGTTCCTTCTAAAATTGTTATCACGACAATGAGTTCTAAATATTGGGCAACAGGTTCGGTTGCCAATGCCAAATTTAACCCAGTACATACGATTTACCCGCTGAAAAATATCATTATGTGTTCACGAGACTCCGATAATAGGTCCTTGCACATAAATTAGACGTCTATTCACCCAACAAAGCATCAAATCTAATGGCATGCCAGAACATATTGAAGCTGTTACTTATGTGAGAGTGAAAGGTGAGGGAGATGCCAACATCACAACCTGCGGACAATCATAACGAAGAGTTGAAAATGTGCGTTCATAATATGACTGCGTAAGATACTCACTTAATGTGGAGTCATGCTGAATTGTGTCACGAAATGCATGAAGAACAATCTTAACACTTGTTGTTAACTATTGAATGTTGAGTATGCCAGTATTCGTAATATTCTACATTTACTACTCTTCAAGAAAATGGAATATTTATTTACCTCTTAGCATTCACACTAGACCTCTTTTATCCCAGTCCCTACACCCTATTTTTATTAATAATTTTAAAACAAATCAGTCCTTACGGTGGTATTTAATGTGAGCAGATAAGTTATTAAGAGTAGCTATAACTGGTGACATACAAGCTTTATTCGCATAATATTTTGCCTCAGATATTATCTCATTTTTATGTCGTAATGCTTTCAAGCAGTGGCATAATTCTTCTCATTTTGCATCAAACTTTGACAGCTTAAGCGATACTGGTATATATATTATTTTCTCAATTAATCCTCCGTTCCTTCTAGACAACCAATTGAATATATAATTCTCATTAATATATATATTTATCAAATTGTATCTTTGCTTGCAAACTACGATCGTCTGCCAAGTGCTTTCCCAATTGGCTATAAAAATCAAATTTCCAAAGCTGCTCTGGTAGTGACCATCATATAAGTTGACATGTTTGTCTGTATTTATTGTAGACCTTTCTTATTCCATTCAAAAATTTAATTTTTTAGTAACGTTTAGTTTTGAAATTACAACGGTTTAGGCCATTGATTACTGTTACTCCCTCTGACTCCTCTTTGTCAGCTAACTATTGAAGTAGTGTACGCCTAAATTCACTCACAAATTACAAGGCAATTTGGAAAATCGTACTAATGCGCACCATTTAATGTTTATCAGAAAAAGGCAATGCGTTGGCTAACAAAATTCCTAGGTATTTATAATTGTTTACTCAGGCATCCAATATGCAAAAATGCTGGAAGCTTCAAAAACATACTTAAACAGTCTTTGATTTATCAATTGACTCTAATATTGGTGTTTAAAAAGCGTTAACCATACACTTCATTGCATATGATATTTCTATTTTTTAGTAAAATTATATTTGAATTTATTTTTTAATGATATTTCAATGTAATTCTTGATGATTCGTTGTTTAGAATAATGTTTTTCTTCGTTAACATTAAAATATAACGACTTGCAATGATCTGAACCAAAACGAAAAAGAATATTAACCACAGTAGTCAAAATTCTCTTATTCCCAGGGAAAAATTCATGAATAAGAAGGCAACTCATTTCTTTGTAAGTTCTGTTATAAGTTTATATTGATAGTGTTTCCCTCTATACTTTCAATTATCTAAAGTCACAGCCTGGAAAATAAGAGTTGATGAAATCATTGGCCCACTTCGTTTTAGACTAGTCAAACACGATTTATATATGCAGAAATTCTGAATTAGGTTGTAATTTATTTACAAATTTTTTCAAGATAATACCTATTGTAAGAAGTTATTCAGTCGAATTTAAATCTATTGCTAGTGAAAGTTATTTATTAAAAATTGCACTTTCAAAAATTTAATCGTTTCGTGGAATTGTTGGAGGTCGACTCTGAGTGCTGCAGTGGATGGTAAATACATAGACCTTGAGTTAGGGGTATGCGATAGACTTACCTCCACGTGGTACACCCTGGGCAACGTATATTCATACGGCAAAGAAGTCTATTAACTGGCAGTTGACTTCTCACTTTAAATTACCATCACCCCACTGTATGCCATATTCGATCCCTTCGCGGTACTCACCTCACCTTTTTTCTAACTTTGTGTTTGTCTCTTACATCTTTGAAACACTCTTCAGTTCCCCCCCCCCCCCCTCTCGACTTTTTCAATTTGATGTTCCTTCTTCTCTGTGAAGTCTGAAGTCAACTAAAGGGCTAATGATAACCATCAAGACGCCTGCCATTTGATATAAATAAATAAATAGACCTTGATTAAACCTAAACGCTCTTCTGTGACAAAAGCCTCTCGTATTGATTTGCTTAAGATATCAGCTAAGCTTTCTCAACAATATAAAAGAAGCAAAACCTATAGTGAGTACTGTGGTTATTGTAAATTATACTCGCGGCAAGTATAATCAGTAAATGAATGCATTTAATACAACTTGAACGAATATTAATAGCTCATTGCCGGAGAAGCATCCTAGACGCGTGACTGTATCTTCCACACTGTTCGAGCTAGCATGAAATTTTTTGATTCAACCATGTTAGCGATATGCTCTCCACAGTGAGAACCAGTACAAAGAACTCACTAGAATAAGTTTGTCCGAACATTTAAATACAACACGTCGTGGGTTACATATACAAGCACGTTGGGAATGAGTCTGTAAGTTTTTATGAATCTCTTCTGTATTCTTAGGAAATAATTTTTCACATTTAAATAGTGGAGTCTGGCACTGACATTT